GATAGATAGATAGATAGATAGATAGATAGATAGATAGATAGATAGATGGATGGATGGATGGATGGATGGATGGATGGATGGATGGATGGATGGATGGATGGATGGACGGACGGACGGACGGACGGACGGACGGACGGACGGACGGACGGACGGATATTGATGAATGATGGACAGACAGACAGATAGGTGGTAGAAAAATGAAATGCAGTAAGACAGTGTTTGGTTTCACTGGTCATGAGGATCAATTCCACATATTCTACAGGAGGAGTATGGAAACCTTGCCCAGCAATCGTGGCCTCAGGACTAGAAGGTAGGCACCAAGAGCCCTACCCCTAACCCATGGTGCCAGTTCCTCGTTTCTCATGGAACTTGGCCCAAGGGATGCAGGAGAGGCACTTGGGTCCCTTCCATGTCTGGAATGTGTCAAGAATCCTGGCATCGTGTCCACTGAAGGGATGAGGAGTAGGAGGGTGGGCTGTCAGGGTTCAGCAGTGTTGACTGAGGGCCTGCTTGTCAGGGTTTCTGTCCTGTCGCGTTTCCGCAATCATTAAGTCCCAAAGAAATCACACAGAGGTCTACAATAACTGTTTGGCCCATTAGCTCAGGCTTCTTACTCAGGTCTACATTATCTGATTGACCCATTAGCTCAGGCTTCTTACTAACTCTTATAACTTATATTAGCCCATTAATCTTGTCTATGCTAGCCACATGGCTTGGTACCTTTTTCAGCTGGGCAATCACATCTTGCTTCTTCTGTGTTGGGCTCACAACTGTGCAAGGAGCTTCCTTCTTCCCAGAATTCTCCTGTTCTCATTGACCCGGCTCTACTTCTTGTCTGGTTGTCCCGCCTATACTTCCTGCCTGGCTACTGACCAATCAGCATTTATTTAAAATATAATTGACAGAATATAGACATTTGTCCCACACAGCAGTGCAGGAGAGACCCTGCCTACTGCACGCCCTGTCCCCCTCCCCAAGCAAAGGTCTTCACAGAGTTCTGTGGAGGAGATATATGGAAAACAATCCTAATACCCAGGCTTGTCCCCAGGCTGCAAGTGATCAGTGGAAAGTTTCTCCAGTCTTCTTATGGGTTCTCGTCCTGCCCTCCCTCTCCCCTCTTGCCCTCCCTCCCCTTCTGACCTCAGAAGGGGCTCCTTCAAGTAAGCCCCCAGGACAAGACCAGGGGCTATTACCATCTGCATCCTCTCTGCTGGGCACCCCAAAGCCCGCTGGCATCTCAGAGCTTGGGTACTACCCGCCTCCCTCAGTTGACAGTGTCCTGCTGCCACTTAGGACCTCGATTTCTAGCTTCCCATTTAAATTGTTGTTTTCGCATGGCATGGCACATGGGCCTCCTCCTCCCCTTGTTGCCTACCCATCCCATTCTTCGAAGAGGGTGGGACAAGAATCCAGCTAGAGATAGGATACACTGTCCATGGCCACTTGAGACTGACCACATAGGACCGTGGGGTGGGACCTAGGCATCAGGATTCAGGTAACCTGAGAACCGGGCATGAGGAGAGAGGGAAGATACACTCTGCCTCTGCTCCCAGTCCTACCCCTTAGCCCTCTGCTCTCTCCTTGGTGGCTTCCAGAACTAGCCTCTGACCAACCCCTGCCCCGTACTCAGAGTTCCTGGACCCCAAGAAGTCTCAGAGCTCAGGGACTCAGAGTCATCCCATTCCTGGGCTTCTGCATGGCACCATAGGATGGCCATTTGACCTCCTCCATCCCACGCCCAAGAGCCCTGTTCCCTCCCTGGGAAGCCAGCCTGACCGCCTGCCTGTCACACCAGGATGGCCTGAGCCGCACCCATTACTCACCAGAGCTAGTCTCTCCCGGAGAGGCCTGCGCTAGGAAGGACCTAGAGGGAAGTCTACGGCCTGGCTCTGCCACTTACCCCCGGCATCATGCCTCCCCCTCCGTGAGCCTCAGTCTTCTCATCTGTGGGATGGGCCTGAGGACAGGTACACCTGCTTGATGGAGAAAATTCCCTTCTGTGCCTGCTGATTCAGGCTCCAACCCTCGGCGACCACTTGTTCTCTTTCTGAGAAGACAAGGTAACTAACTCTCAGAGCTCTGGTTTCCTGGTGTGTCCCTCAGGATGTGGGACACAACACCTGGCAGTCAGTAGGAATACAGGCACACTCTGTCCCCACCAGATAGGTGCTGGCTCTCCAAAGGGCATGCAGAGAATGGTCAGGGAGCCTGGGGTCCCTGAAACCCTCCTCAAGAACTGGGAGGTCAGAAACATTTCACCATGTTGTTAGGCCACCATTGGTCTCTTTGTTCGTTTTCCCCCAAGGAGACAGTCTCTTCCAAGGACCTGTCACAGCAGAAGGAGTGACAGACAACAGCAGAGGCTTTAAACCATGCCAAACAACGCTACCTAATGCTTTCTTTAGAAAATGTCCTTCATTTCCACACTCGGTGTGTCATTTTAGTATTGTTATATGCGTGGATCTGTGTTTTTGAAGTGTTCCGTTTTAACTTCTACGGTGTAAAAATCAAAAGGTACAATGAGTCTGGACAAAAGCTCTCTGGGGTCCTCAGTCACGTTGAAGAGTGTCGAGAAGTTTCGGCACCCACAAGTGTGTCAAGGATGCTCCCAAAGCGCCACCGCTGGGCTGCACTGAAGGTGGCCATGCTTGCTCAGATCAGCTGACTGAGCTTCTGGTCAGGGCTGCAGAGAGCTCCGTGGAGCAGAGAGCTGGGTGCCAGGAAGCTTTTCTCCAAGAAGCTCTCCAGGCCCACAGCACATCTGGGGAGCACCGCCCAAAATTCCCGACTTCAGTGAGCTCACACGAGACTCCTAGGTAACAGTGAGCTACAGGTGTCCCGCCTGGTGGCACCCAGTCACACTGCCTGACAGCTTCTGCTCACTCCTCTCAGAAGCCACAGCCCTCCAGGACAGCCCACCCCCCATCCTGTGGTTTCAGAAGTCCCGAAGGCATTTATGTCACCCAGAGTTCCAAGCTCAAGCAGGCTCTCTCGGAACCAATGAGGATTTGTGTAGGTTCTGGCTTAGAGCATCCTGAGAAAAGGGCTCCCTTCCCAGGGGATCGGTCAAGCTGGTGGATAAAAGCCTGGAGGGGCCTCACACCTAGACAAAGTCTGCCTGATACCCACAAGATGGGGACAAATTCCCGTTTTCGCCATCTGAGCTCCCGGGCCCAGCTCTGCCTGTTCTCCACAGCCACCCGGTCACCTCACTCCTTGTTTTATGAACTTCTTTTCAGCTTGGAGTCCAGACGAGTAACAGTTCAGATGAACAGGACGAGGAGGGGGCACTGCTTGGGCTCCCAGAAGCATCACTGCAGACCCTCACCTCTGGTGCTCCGGAAAGACCCCTCTTGCCCAGTGAAGACCCAGTCAAGCCCAAACACAGCTAGACCACAGTCCGGGTTCGTGTTTCTCGGTATCATTTATAAAGCCATACAATGATTGTAAGAGACAAGCGGCTGTACAGAGCGGGTAGCTTCTGTGTAATACATTCAGATCCAGAACGCTTGCCATACAACAGGGTTTATACAAGGTGGCGGAGGCTATAGGCACAATGATACAAAATATAAAGTATATTTCCATCTATAAATACACAGCAGAGGGCAGGGGGCAGGGGGCAGAGGGCTGGAGTAGGGAGCAGAAGATGGACTCTGGGTATGGGTCTCCCAGAAGAGGGCCTGGGGGGGGGCAGGGTTGAGATAACAGTATATAAGGAACTTCTTACATTTGTTTTGAATGAAAGAAGGGAAGAAAGTGGGGGAGATACCATATGCACACCCCAATGTGCTCACACACATACGAGCCAAATGTGGGTTCACAGGGAGGACTGGGTTGTGAACACTGACGGGAAGATGCATGGGTGTGCCGCACATCCATGGCCTTGCTGCCGTGAGGGGCCCAGGCATGGAAACCAACTGAGACCCTCCAACTTCTCAGTCCTTTGAGGAGACAGGAGACAGCAAGGAAGAGACCTGCAGAGCCTTATCCCGCGTGGCTATCCCCTCCGTTACCAGCACTAAAACACTGCTAATCCATGGGCCACCAGGCCTCACCTCCTGGTTCTTCTCACTACTGGGTCGCACTGAACTTGACATCCCTCCCTCCATCTACCACCTCCATCTCCCACGCGAAGCTCCCTAAAGAGAGCGAACCATGCACACACACCCACACTTGCACACACACACACATACATACGTCCTGCCACCACGGACCATGGAAACACCAATCTCGAGATCTTCTGCCAAGGCCTACGTGCAGGGGTGGCCCTCGCTTTGGGTCCACTAGGACCCAAGGCATGGAGGCAGGAGAGGGTTGGCTCCCCTAGATGGATCTCCCCTAGATCTGAAGCTGGTGAAAGAGGGCCAGAAACCCTGGGAGGTAGGACGGAGAAGAAAATCCAGAGCAGGAAGGATGCTGTTCGCTGACTTGTCTCTCCTGCGTTTCCCAGACAGCACAAGGAACCTGTTTCATCCCTAGTCAGGCCTGGAGCAGGGTCTCTCCCTCTCCTGACAGCCCCTTTCTAGAGGGGCACACCGCCACAGTGTCCTCCCTACACCACGAGACAGGTATCTCCAGGGACTCTCCAAAGCCAGGGTGTACCAGAAATTCTGGCAATCGTGACCAAAGCTATCTAAGTTGCCAGAGAACATCCACTCCAAACCTCAAATGTGAATTCGTTCCTCAGACAAAGCTGGACAAGGGAGCCAGGGACCCACAGCAGAACAATAGAGATCTCAGTATCCAATTATTAGTTTTTCCCAGACTTCCCTTAGGGGCCACCTGTCTAGTGTATTCTAGCCCAGCTCTTCATCCTTACCCCCAGAAATATGGGGGCCTTCCCTTCCCCTAAACCTGGCTCAATCAGCTCACCTCCAGATAATCTGGGAGGTTGAGGCCACTGGCCAACCTCAACAATCTTCTGAGTTGCCAGAGGCAATATGGACCTGGGCTGTAGCTGAGGGGTCCCGCTGATGACATCACAGGCTGCCATGTTCATCTTCCTTACTCCTCCTTCACTCACGGTTAAGAGCAGACAGCACTCTCCCTGCTGACATACAGACTCAACTACACAGAACAACAAAACAGACCACTCACAAAAAACAATGGGTAAAAAAGAAAGCATTCTTGTTTAAAGGAAATCTTTGGCAAGAATAGGTTGCATACGGAGGTGTGAGAGTGCGTGTGGTCTGTGTGTGTGTGTGTGCACGTGTGTGCGCATGTGTGTGCGTGCATGAATGTGCAAGGCCCACCGGTGAGAATCACAGTGAGGAAGAGGGCAGACTACAGTGCGGTTCCCAGTGTAAGAACTGAAGCCCCTTCTCCAACATCCTTCCAAAAAAAGTCAAACTCAGGTGTCCATTCCTTCTACAGGCATGCTGGGAAGGAGGAACCCACTTCCCAGCATCCACCTCAGTCCTTCACATGACTCACACATGGCTTGGGCCTGGGTGCAGCATGAGAAGGTGAAACCACGTGTGAAGGTTGACCCCAGACTCGAGGCAGACTGGAGGATGGCCCAAGGCAGGCTGCAGAGGCTCCGACGTTCCTCAAAGACTCACGCGAACGTTCCAGCCGGGAGAAGCCTCCGCGGACTGCGCAGCAGGGTGAGGGTATTTACAAAGAAGGGGGATGAGAAAATTTTTCTTCTAACTTGGGAAGAAGTGGGGTTCATTTGGGGATTGAAGAGAATGGTAATCGAGGCATTGGCCTTGAACACCTCAGCGGGAAGGACACTTTAGAAGGAGCTTGATCACTGAGCCCATTTATTCTTTGGGAAGCGGGACCCAAAGGGGCCTCTACCCATGATCCCTACTCTTTTCTCCAACTCCTCAAAACAGTGCCACACAGTCAAAGCTCCCCCGTAAGGGGGGGGGGAATCCAAGAGATGCACACACCACGGCCATACACCTGCATCCCAAACACACGCTGGCTCAGACCTGGGGCGATGGAAGCAGCCGTCCTCACATCCAGGATGCTGGCAGCTCGGCTACTGCTGGCCAAAACTAAGCAGCCAGAGCGTTATCCCCCAAGTCCCAGACTGAGCCGGATATAAAGACCCCCACTGCAGTTCAGGCTCCACTTACAAATTAGGAAAGAAAAGGAAACAGTTTGTGGCCAGGGGCAATAAAGCAATATGGGGAAAAACAATAAATATTTCTTGTCAATTTACCTATTCTTTTTTTAACCTTTTCTTATATTTTTATTAGCTTACAGATTCTATCAGTATGTCTCATGTATATATTATATATATTTATATATCAGTACAATACCACCCCTAGGGACCCCCATGGGCTTAAATGGAGGCCTGAGCGGTGACAGGGGCCTTCCCAACCCCACAAATGGACCATAGGACCTTTGGCCTAAATTCATACCTTCTGTCCTCTGTCCCACAGAGAACACGGTTCTGCTGGGGAAACTGAGGCAGAAGGGGAACAGGGAAGCTTTGGCATTGTAGGAGGACCACATGGTTCTCCAGCAGCATCCCCAGAGGTGCTCTGATGTCACCCTGGGCAGCCCAGCCAGAAAGGGATCTGCAACCATCAGACCCCAAAACACAGGGAGGAAAACAGGGCTCCGGGCCTCCCCAGGTGCCCTGGGCAGGACTCTGGGCAGCAGGCTCCTGGGATAAGCCAACAGAAGGACTATATAGGACAGGGTAGGTCAGAAAGGCACAGCTCCCGACCCCCAGTAGGCCTCAAGCAGGTGAGCAAGGACAAAGCTAGTGCTGGCACTCCCGATCCAGGAACCGGACTGTAAGAAGGGAATAAGGCAGAGTCCTGGATACTATCAGTGCGCATGCCCAACTTAGCGCTGGACACTATCAGTGCGCATGTTCAACTCTCCACACGCCAAGAAAAGATGCCACCCTTCCCTAACCGCTATCTTTTCCAAGACCTAGGGCATCGCTTCTTCCTCCAACCCAGCTTCAGTCTCGGAGACAGAGCAAGGCTAATGCAGCAGGTGGGCTTTGCCCTCTGTACCAGGGTCGCTACAGGGGACAGACTGGAGGCCCCCAGGGCCATTAGAGGGCAGTTGTCGGAACAGAGAGGGGACTCTGCTACCCATAATGCTATGCTCCTTCAGGAGACAGCTTGTCTCTGCCCTGGCGCCATGCCACCCCATATCCCTAGCCTTCTTTGGTCAGTGTGTATCACAAGGGTCACAGACAAGCAGAGCTGTTTGTAATTCGAGTGGATAGAGGCAGGTATCGATCAGTGATCAGTGCACGGGGAGCGGGGTGGGGGTGGGGCGCATTTTACACCCTGCAACAAGAAGTCAGAGCAAGCACAGACCATGGGTGCCTCAGGTGAGCAAAATGTAAAAAAGTATCACCGCTTGATGTCACACGCTGGTCACTGGGTTTAGCCAACCTTACCTCCAGAGAAGTAGGTTCAGCTTCTTCTCTCAAGGCAGGAGAGTAGGGAGAACAAGCTTTGTTGCTGCTCTGTGAAATCTGGTCCCCTGCCACCACCAAAAGAGGCCTGTGTGTTCCCTGTGGGAGCTCAGTTCTCTCAGAGAGGGAGGGGAGCTAGCTGGAGAGGCTTTGGGAGGCGTGGCTTCCATCTGTACAGGGGAGTCTGAGTTCCTCTCTTCCATCCTTGCTTTCTCCTCCTCCCTTTCCCCTCCCCTCCACCATTCGCATCCCTCTCCCCAGTGGCGAAGCACTTCCTACTCGCCTTCTCCACAGTCAACCCAAAAGTCCTCTTTCTGGATTTAAGGTGGTCAGGATTCACAGGTCCCCTCTCCCACACGCCCCATCCCCAGTGCCCCAGCCTTGGGCAAGGACTCCAGGATTCATCTCTTCTGGCCAGCACTTAGCATGACCTTGGAGACGAAGTTGACAATGGCAGAAGCAGGTTGGTTGGGGTCAAGCTCTGCGAAGAGGTGGCAAGCGTTGTCCGTGGTGCTGCCCTGCTTCCGGGCCACAAAGCCGAAGAGCCTAGAGGGCGGCAGGAGAGGGTGACTAGGTAAGGAGTCCAGGCTCTGGAGGGAGACCCAGGCAGGAAAGCCTGCTTCAGGCCAGCCTGGTCTCCCCACCCCCCACGCCTCTCCAAGCATCTAGAACTGGGGCTAGCTCTTAAAGCCAAGTCCTGGGGACAGTGCTTTGCTTTGTTTCAGAGCAGGTGACATTCCCCTAGGGAGAGGAGGCAGGAGCTGAGCTGGGTACAAGTGACAAGATGGTTAGAAAGGGTGCAAGGAAGAGGCCAAGCCAAGCTTCCTAGGTTCTTTCTCAGCCCCATCCCAGCCTGAGGGTTCCTATGGGATACCCTCAGGTGGTCAGGGACAAACATAAGCAGGTCCCCATCTCCCCCCCCCCCCACCACACACACACTCCTAGCTAGCTCTGGGAGCTGGGTAGCCCTGAAAATAGGAGGGGTAAGGAACCCCACACCTGTCCCCTGCCCCCCCAACACCAATGGGACTGACCCAGCATTCTCTCGCTCTCTGCAAAGCAGAGTTAAAAGTATGAGAGCAGAGAACAGAATGTGAGCTCAGGGCCCCTCCCAGCCGGCATGTTGCTAATTAGAGCGAGATGGGGAAATCAGGACAGCTGGAAATGCCGATGGAAACCCCTCGGCCGGGTATGCATGGCACCCACAGCTAAAATTAGCCAGGCTGGCCTCTGCCTGCCCGTGTGTGTCTGTGCACGTATACACAAACATGCCCTGTTCACACCTACGCAAGAGACACACAGTAAATGCATATCCACATAGCACACACATGATGAGGAAACCACACACACACACACACACACAGAGCCCTGTGTTTCAAACGGCTTTACTCTCTCTACTCTGGTGTAGGACCTGAAGGCCTGCAATGATGACCAGATGAGTCAGGGCACTTCCCTTTCCAGACTGACTGTGTCTGTGGAATGGCATGTGTGACCCAGGCAGGGTAAAGGACATCTCTGAGTGCCCGGAATAGAAGCACACAGGCCTATCTCCCTCCCTGTGTCGCTAGGACAGAGACCCAGCCAACTGGGCCTGCTCTGAACGTTGCCATCTGATCCACTGGCAAACTCTGGTTTGTCTGATGTCTGGCAGTAGTGTGGAGAGATTCAGTGGCACAGGGAGGCACAAGAATGTGAAGTCTCTTTTGATCCTATGAAGGTTACAGAAGGCTGAGGTATGCTCCCCCTCCTACACAGCCCCCCTGGAGTCCCCTGTTGATAAGGATTAGATTCCTAACAAGCAAGGTGCTCTCTCTCTCTCTGGTCCACTCCAGACACTTCCTTCAACAACTGTTAGCAACTGACAGACCCACCCTATCCTTGGGAGCCTGCAGTCTGAGAGTCACACAACCCCTTCCTCTGAGGTTGCCTCCCCTACCCCTAAACCCATTTCTATCTACCCAAAATGCACCTGTCACTTAAGTCCATTTTTAAGTTTTCTTTCTTTTCACAAAGCCTTCCAACTCCATGCCTAGACATGTCTTTGTTAGCAACAAGATGTGGGCCATATTCCCTTTCTCCTAATCTCTGAGATCTTGGTATACAGGCCCTCATCAGACCCTGGGCTAGAGCCTGTCCCTGTCCCTGTCCCTGACTTCCCCACAGAGTTCAAAGGTCAACCAGCTCGGTGCAGGGGAAGCCACACTTACTTAGCAGGGGCGCCTCCCTCTGTCTTCATCCACCTGTGGAAAAAATGCCCGCAGTAAGCCATGTGTCTCTTTCAGGAGCTCTGCCAGGGGAAGGCAGAGGAGACCCCATTCCAGGAGATACATCCCTAAGATCACACATGGAGAGGATGCTGCGGCCCACCTCCCGGGTAGGGAGGACACACAGCAAAATGAAGTCTGTGGAAAGTCCACAGGTCTGGGGAGGAGACTAGAGTGGTTGTGAACAGAGTGGTTCTCATTGCACAGGACAAACCATCACTGTGGCTGAGGCAAGAATACACCAGCACACAACACACACACACTTCAGGGGAGAGGAAGGAGGAGCCTATAAGATACTTACTTTCGCTCTTCCTTTCCATCCCCCTCTTGGAGAGGCAGCTTCTGTCTTTCTCTCCCTCTCTCCCCGCCCCCTGCCTCCCTGCTCTTCTTCTCTTTTCCTTTCCCCCTCCATAACCCACAAAAAAAATATCCAACCTCACTCTGAAAAAAAAAAAAAGATACTTACTTTCTTTCTTGTGGATCCAGGTCACAGAAGGTGACAGTATTGAGGGGGTAGTGCCGTCTAAAGAAGAGCCTGTGGCAAAGATATCAGAGGGCCAGAGTGAGCATGGGAGTAACTGCTTATTCACACCTGCCACCACCTGCAGGGCAGGCCACCTTCCCATCACTGTGCCTATCATGGCTTCATAAGCCTCTCCTTATGAAGAAGATGGCCTGAGAGCCTCATACCAGGAATCAAGCCCCACCCAGGGCCAGACAGATGCGCCATAGAACTGGCACTGAGAAGTGATAAATGGGGGAAAGTGGAAGAGGAAGGAAATAGGCGGAGAACAGAGAGTTCACGGTGTGAGAGCCTCTACTCTTCAAACCAAGGACCTTTCTCCATCTGTATTCTACATGCTCAAAGCAGGCCACTTCTTTAGAAGTACGGATAGATGAGTGGATGACGTTGGATTGAGGGATGTGTACATGCTTGTACAGTGTGTGGATGGTTTGGGGAGTGAACAGATATATACGTGGGTGGATGCAAGAGTAGATAAGTTGGTGGGTGGATGGATAGGTGGATGGTTGGCTAGGCGTGTGGGTAGGTAGATGGATGAACAAGTGGGCGGATGGGTGGAGGATGGATGGATGGATTCACTTTGGATGCACAGTGCACAAACAGGCAATAGGTCCAGGGATTGTCAGAGCATGTGTAAGTAGATAAGTGAGGGTAGGAGGAAAAGATGGGCGGGCAGGCAGGCTTACTTTCTCTGATTGTCAGTCAGTGTGATTCCTTGGGCAGAGACCTTGAAATGAACAATGGTGGCAACTGGCGTGGGGTCAGCAGCCAAAGTCTCAGATGTGGCTTTAGAAATGGCCTGTGGCCCGGTGAGTGACTCCATATCCACAGAATTGATGAAGAGCACATTGCAAGCTGGAAGAAATGGAACCAAGGAGGAGTCATGGGGGCTGGAGTATGCGGCAGGCAATCCCTCAGGAGCCACGGGGGCTGGAGTATGTGGCGGGCAATCCCTCAGGAGCCACGGGGGCTGGGGTATGTGGTGGGCAATCCCTCAGTGCCACTGTGCAGAGGCAGGTGCTGACAAACTTTAGGCAAGCCTTGAGCCAAAACCACTGCACACAAAAATGAAATCTGGGAGAAAATTCCAACCTGCACCTGCAGGAGGGGACCGGGCAGGAGGTGGGAAAGACAGGCCTGGGCATCGGTCCCATCTTGGGTGACACTTACCTGCTCCTTGCTTCAGCAGGTCGGTGGTTGAGTTGGCAGGGCCCGAGCTATCTTTTGATTCATCTGTGGGGTCTGAGACAAAAATTCAATTAGTGAATTAAAACCCTACAGTAATTAAAATGAGCCTGGCTGGGCCAAAAGCAAGTACATGCTTTCTGCAATGGATACTCTCTTCAGAGTGGGTCTTGGCAGTCAGCGCTGCTTATATAAGATGACACCCAGGCCCCAGCACACTGCTGCAAGGTGCTACAATCCAGAAGAACTGGGCTTGAATCCCCACTGCAGCACCTGCTAAGTTCCTATGAACAGACGATGGTGATGACAATGGTGACGCCCACGTCAGCATGCAGCAGACAGCAAGGAGCAATGGGGACTACTGGATTTGCACCAGTGTATCTTTGTATAATCCAGTGAGCGACTGAATTCACTGAAGCGCAACACAGCCCAATCACTTGGCGATGACTTAGGATGACAGACATACTGAGCAGCTCGATTTTACCAGCATACAGTGTGTGTGCACCTCCAGCATACAGTGTGTGTG